TCTTGATCTTAAAAAGTTGTTCCTCATATTGCTTCTTCTAAAGAGGAAATAAATATATGCATATTCCCAGAGCTGTTGAAAGTGGGCCCGGCCCTAGAACTAGAGGCGCGCTGGTCGCAATGCAGGCACAGACCTTCGCAACAACCCGGTACCTGCTGTCCTGGTGCTTCCGCCAAGGAGGAAGGTTTTCCAGGAGTTAGGGGTCTGCGTTGGTGGTGTGGTAGGCTGATGGATGGAGAGGGAAACAGTGTGCAGGAGAGGGATTGTAAAAGAAACATGCCTTTTAAGATAAACAATCAAATTGGTTTAGAGATTGTCATAGTTGAAAATCTACAGGTTGTTATTTCGTGGAAAAGGTTCCTGGCTGGGAGAGGCATTCAAAGCTGGGTCGGCGGAATAGGTGCTGCTGAATTGACTTTTTTTTTTTTTTGGGGGGGCTGGGGAGGTTAAGGTGATGTTTTGTTGATTTGGAGATGATTTATTTCCTCCCGTTGTAAAATCTAAAATGACAGTCCTGGGAAGAGGAAAGAACTATAGGGACCCGTGTGACCCATTGCTGTCTCCCTGAAGCCCTGGCGCTCTGACCTGAGCGCACTGGGGTTAAGTCTTTCAGACAAAATGCGGGACTGAGCGACGTCTAACACTCGGGAGAGGCGCTCCGAAGCACGAAGGAGGTGGAAATTCACTGCATTCCAGAGTTGGGGGATCTGGAGCCCCAGTGAGTACTGGCAGCCTAGGGCTTCGGACTTCACTGGCCTATCACCCCACACTTCAAATTCCCAAGTCGTCCTTCACCCGAAAGCGGGTAGGAGTCACTGGACTATCAGTTTCTCCAAAATTCCAAGAGAAGGAGATCACCCGGGCCCCTACCTCTGCATGTGAAATAAACCAAAATCACCACCTCCTGGCTGGCCTTGACATTCGGCTTTGGGGATTCACTGATGCACCTTGATCCTGTATTTCACCTCCTCCTCTAAAGAGAAATGTTTCCAGGCTAACCTTAAAACGATATATTTCATTGCTTCCCCTCTTCAACGAGATAACTGAAGCCCAAATTTAGACTGCCAGCACAGACTCTAGAGCCCCAGGGTGGTGCTGCATAAGAAAATTTCTGGCGCAAGGGTTGTTGCAAACGCTGAGACTCTAGGGGTTGATATTACTGTGATGCGAATTCCAACTTGGGAGCGCCCTAGAAAATGTTCCCGCTCTCCTGGGCGTTTCTCTGGCGAAGAAAAGTTGGCCGGGCAAGGTCCCCGGAGAGTGTGACTGGTGGATTGGGCAGGCAATTCGTTCGCGCTGCGTTTACACCTCTCCCTTTGTGACAAATCGATTTCCCGCGCTGCTGTTCTGCATTTGCGTCCCGCCGCGGCCCGGGAGCCAGCTGCGCCCGGTATACACTTAGCATCGGCTTGTGAATGTGTGCGTGTGCGCGCGCGTGTCTAATTGACTTTCCGTCTACCTTTTTATGACTACATGTGTTTCCAACAAAAGGTCTTATTAGGACAATCTGGTTTCACTAATTTAGAGGTTGGGAACGTGGAAGGCAGGCCCCCCCCCTTTTTTTAAGAGTTTGCAGAAGTTCAAATTAAGAAATGACAGCGGGATGCACTGTCCTCATTGGAGTAGGTCTGCTTATTTTTATGACCCGTTCCTCTTTCCTATCCCTGATTAACCACGTTCTGCCACCACCCCCATTCACACTCCACACTATCCCATTAGCCACTGGATTCCAAACAGTGTTAAAAGAATTATTTCTTTGAACACTTAATGTATTTGAGCCCAGAAGCTGGAGAATTTACTTGTCTGAGAGACTCAGTAAAAAGGGAAAGGAAGCATTCCTCAGAGAGGACAGTGTAGTGAATATCAACCAAGGTAAGGGTGGGGACAGAATTGCTGATGGTGAGTGCGGTGGGGAGGGTCTGGGAGAAGCCCTCACTTTAGACAATACCTAATTCCTTCTAGCTCTATTCGGCCCAGGTTGTAATTAGAAATTTTACAATATTAAAAATCCAATATTGAAGGTGTAAGTGGAGTTTGTTTTGCTAATTTCAACTGAAGAGAAAATTTAGAAAGGTCAAGGACTGTTTCTATATAGCTAAAGGAATCAAATGCTTCTTTTTAATGTTCTCTGTCTCTCTGAAGAAGACAATCATTTCCCACTAGACTAGATTTCCAGCAGGGTGCAAAGAGCGCTAGACTCCCGGTTCCATCTCCGAGTTACTTTGAGGATGGGGGAAGAGTCTGCTCTAGCCATCCTTTACCACGACACTCCCCTCTTCCCTGATTCACAGTCTGAGCTTCATTGTCATTTCAGGCTGGAGGCCAAGGGGTCCTGACTTCCAGGGGGCTCATAACAGCTTTCTTGGTGACTCTTTTTGGGAGACCAAGAACTAGGGATTAGGGTTCCAGACTCTCCCATTCTCATCCCAGTGGAGAAAAAAAAGAGGAAAGTGCTTATAAAAGCAAGGAACTATTCGTTAGAACACTACTCTCATCTCTCTGGGAAGCAAGGCCTGGTGTGTGTGTGTGTGTGTGTGTGTGTGTGTGTGTGTGCGCTACTTTCCTAGCTCCAGGTGCCTGTCACATCGTCCCCATCACATCACTCTGCCTTCTGCGGCCTCCTCCCAAAACTGTCTCTTGGTTATGCTTCCGATGAGCATCCTCTTTCTGAGCCTCAGTTTCCTTTCAGGGTCCTCTCCCCACAAGGCCTCTCTAGTCATTGTAACTCTGAGATGGGCCCGAGTATCACAAGTTTTAGAATCTCCCCTTTTCCCGGGACACACAGTCCCCAACTCTGCCCGCAATCCTCAGCTTGTCCTCGCATGCCCCTGCGGAGGCCACATGCTCCTATAGGCCTCCTCGGAGCCTCTGAATCTGCTCTGGGGCGCTCCACCTCTGGCTTCCTCTGGCCAGTCCCGCTCCATACCCACTCTAAGGCCACAGCAAATCCCTGAATCCCAAGCTCCCTTTTCGTGGTGTCCACTCAGAGCCAAACAACTGGTACAATTTGCATCCCTCTTCCCCTGCAGTATCCCCGGGCCATCAGGGCTGGGTCGGTCCCCAGGCTGGCTGAGGCAGCTGGCCTTGGCCTTGCTTTTCTCATCCTCCTGTTTCCTCATAGGGCAAAACAACATCTAGTCTCTCCTGCCCCACTCTGGTCTTCTAAGCAGAATTTTCTTCGTCGCCCTGTTTTCTGTTCTGAGTCCAATCTCTGGTGTTCGAACAGTGGTAAATGTCGCAATTAATAAGTAGTCCTGACAAAACAGAAACAACCCGACGTGCAAAATTGACGAAGCTGGGGTCTACATGGAATGCTATTCTCCTTACTCTTTTAAAAAGTTTTTCATTTTCCCTAGTAAAACGTTTAAAAACAACCATAGTATTTCTCAGTGCATTTTGTTAGAGCTAAGAGTGCTCATGCAAACACTTAACTCACTCTGCGGTGTGGACAGCAGAAGCAGCCCCTCTAGCACCAAAATGCTAAACAGAACCTCTCTACCTCTGCACTTAGCCCTTTATGTGGAACCTGGGGACACCCGGTTCTTCATTCCTCAGAGTTGGCCACTTTTCTCTGGTGTCCAGGCCAGACTTCCTCATCCAGCTTCTGCAGCCCTCTGCTAGTGCATTGGGTGGATCAGCCCTAGGCCTCTTTTGGCGAAAAACACGGAGGGGCGCCCAGGCCAGTAAGGAAGCAGGGTGAAGACCGGGCGCCCTGAGCACGCCATAGGCTCTCTCTGCGGCTTGCTTTAGCGTGGCCCTTGGGGCCACCACTGTGCCCAGGCCCCGTTTCCAATTGTTTCTATGTTCAGTTTGATTTGTATGTCTATTTTTCGAAGGTCTGAAATAGGCAATGTTTTGCGAAAATCACAGAATGCTGGCAAGCCCCCTGGTTCCACGGTTTCCAAATTTTAAGACAAAATGGTAACCAGCAACTATTGACATCGAAAGCGATCAGCCTCATTTGAGAACTTACAGCTAAGTTCTTGCAACCTCAAGAAGAGGGAATATCTATGCGTGTCTGGCACATTGCACCTGGGATGAACTGGGTGACCGGTCTGTTACAGACTCGGGGACACGGGGATACAATTGCCGTCTCTTTTTAAGGCACCATTACTAAAGTGAAGCGAGATTTTCAGGGGCGCGAGGCTGGTCGGTGAGGACGGGGAAGGGAAACTACTTTTCCGGACGTTTAAGAAGCAATAGGGATTGCTCCTCGAAGGTGACACTGGCCTCAGCACAGAAGCCCGCGCCTCCAGGACGCAGCTCGCCTGTGCGGGATCACGCGGGGCTGAATCGCAGGTTTCACCCGTAAAGGACATTCCCTTGGCTTGGCCTGAGTTTGCCCGAGTCAGCCGGGCTTTTGACTCTGCGGGTCTCAAACCCATTTGCCGTGGAGGTGACAGCAGGGGGCAGAGAGTAGCTCCAGCGTCTCGGGCAGGGCGTTCTCTCGTGGCCTCCCCGTTGCGCTCGGCCTTCTGTGCCCGCGTGGAGTGTGCAGCCCGAGCAGTGCCAGTCCTGCTGCCTGTGCCTGGTGCCCTCCCTGAAGCCGTCATACGCTGCCTGACAGAAGTCCTTCCAGCCCAACTCAGCATCCTTAACCCGCTGCTTTCCCAAACACTGCTGGCTCTCTGAGTTTGCGCCGCGATAAGACCTTTTTCCAGCCCTGCCCCGCCGCTCCGCCTGTGGGATGAACCCAACCCGAGCCTGGCTGAAGTAAAGAGAGTTCGCGGCAGACAGAGTCCCTGCCTCCGACCTCAGGGCCTCGGAGTGTCCCCGGGCCTCGGAGCCTCTCTAGCTTCCTCCTTGGTTATGCCCTCGGCCGAGACCCGCTTTTCGCATCTGGTTTCCCCCGGGACTGGCCCTTCCTTTGAAGTCTCCCACCACCTCTACTAGTCCCAGGACTTTCTCTTTCTGGCCCCGGACGGGCCCTCGCTGCCCTACCCCGGTCCCCGCCCTCTGTCCCGGGCACACACCCCCGTGGGCATGCGCCCCTCACTCACTGTCCTGCTGCGGGGTGTCGCTGCCACTGGTGAGTCCCGGCGACTCCAGCAGGCTCCGGCCAGCCTCGCCCACATTCTCGTCCGCCTGTGCCGCCACCATGTCCCCGGCTTCCTCCAGGTCTAACAGGTGACTGACGGAGAAGTTCTTTTTCGCCTGCAGGGTGTCGAGGTTGCCCGGGCTGTCCAAGCGGCCGCCCAGCGCCGGTTGCCGCTCCAGAACGTGCCCGTAGCTGGAGGTCATGGTCTCCCCCACCGATCCCACCCACCCCCCTCTTCCCGCTCGAATCAACACCAAACGCTGTGGGCGCGAGGGGGGAGAGGAGCCGAGTGGGGAAGAAAGAGGGGGGCAGTGCAGACAGAGAGAGAGAGAGAGAGAGAGAGAGAGAGAGAGAGAGAGAGAGAGGAAGAGGGAGGGAAAGAGAGGAAGGCCAAAAAAAAAAAAAAAAGTGGAAAAGAGGGCGGGGGACCCCCTTCTGTAGAGCAGAGCGTTCTGCACCAGCCGCCTTCCGTAGCCTTGGTTGCTTTCCTGAGGCCAAGTCCGGCGCGGTCCAAAGAGATAATCCACACCAAAATACAATATTAAAAAGTCACCCTATGTTCAAGTCAGGAGAAAAAAAATCCCTTCCAACTCTCCAAAAGCATCCACAGGCACAGACTAAAAATAATAATAAGGGGGAGAGAGGAAAGCGGAGGCCAGCAGGGCGGGGGAGTTAGGCAAACAGAAGAAGAGAGAAGAAGGGGTGGGAGAGAAGAATCAAAGTGGAGGGTTTTTTTAAAGGTTAAAAAAGTTATTCCCAGGCAAGAGTTCAAGCACCAACAGAAGAAGGCTTGTTCCAGCTTTAAAACATCTTCAAGAAAACGTGTTCCCCCCTCTCTGCACTCCTGTGGATTCTCAGGAGTGACTAAAGTTTCAGGAGGAGAGGGTGATGTCTTGCAGATGTATTAGAGAGCAGGATTCTCACTTTACTTTTTGTAAGGAGTTAAAAAAAAATTAAGAATTAAAAAAAAATTGGGCTTCAAGAGTCCGATGGAGGGTGCTGGTGGGTTCCCCCCTTTCCCTTCTCTCTCTCCCCCTCTTCTTGCTGGGCTCCTTTTTCCTTCTCAGTTGGATCAAGAAGCTCTCTGGCACATCAAAAGGCACAAACTGGCATGCAGAGGAGGCTTTGTAGGGAATACAAGAAAATTGGAGACCCCTGGGAGGGCAGATCTCGACTTAATAGGAGCCTGTAATTACGTGGCAAAGCCTTTGTGCCGTGCCTGACGTTTCACAGACCCCCTTTCTCCATCACAACCTCCTTCTTCCTCCTTTCCTTGGGTCCAAAAACAGTCTGATTAAGAAAACCCCCTTTGCCAACCTCAGAGCCGGAGAGAAAGGGAGAGGGAGGGAGCAAGAGAGAGGGAGGGAGAGAGAAAGAGGGGGAGGGAGAGAGAAAGGAGGGGGAAGAAATGAGAGAGGGAAGAGATCAAGAGAGACCCTTTGGATTTCTAAAGGTCTAATTATCATTCTTCTGCAATAATATCGGGGAGAAAAGACAAACTGAAACTCAGTCACTTCAAACGCGCTGATTATTTTGCTTCGGCATTAACTCCTGCTGGAAAATCTCATTTGCATGTTTTGATAACAGCTGTGGGGAAATTGGAAAAAATCCACCACTCTCACAATCAAATTTTCTTCTTATGCCTTCCCCCACAACCTTTAAAAAAAAAGATTTTCTGCTGTTTTAACAGTTTTGGGGTGAGTACAGGAGGAAAATAAGGCTATTTTTGGTTCTGTAGAGGGAGCCTATTAAATAATGTAATGAAATAACAAGAGGGATAGTAATAGGAGGCTCTCTCACTCCTCTCGCAAAGACTAAAGGCAGGTTGGGGAGATCTAGAGGGCACCGAATTTATTTGAGGCTTTCCCCGCCATTAGGAATACCAGGGCTAGGGCAATGAGAAATGTATTTGTCTATTAAGCTGGAGGAAAGGACTCCAGAAATATATTAATCTTTCTCCCTACCCCCGCCAATTTTGTAACCTCTGTGGTACCGCCAAGGTTGCTTCCCCAGGCGAGGACGCTAAACCCAGAGGGTCCCGCTGCGCAGATTCCTTGGAGCTGGCTGGAGCACTCCCAGAGGCAGGAGTCGGGGAGGCTTCCGTGCGTTTCAGCGTCAGGCCTGGCTGTGGTAGCGGGAGGACAGAGAGGGGCGGAGGAACCCCCATCTAAGTCTAAGGATAATGCTCTGTCGTCCGTCTGCAGAGTCCTAACTTGACGGAAGACAGAGAGGTGCTGAGCAGTTTTTTCATGAACTGTTGGAATTTGGTAACAGCTTTAATAGTCTCATTAGAAATGACTTACTATATGATGACTAAGTAAAATATTAAGTGCTTATTTGTGGCGTTTTATGTTCTTTAAAGGCGCACATACACACATGCATCCGCCCTCCCTTGATTGCTAGACTCTTTTTTTCGTTCTATAGCCGAGAGGCTCGACTGGAGAGAAAGAGGGGTCCGAGTGTGTGTAAATGGTTTCTGGGCTCCAACAGCTATAGTTAGCCCAGAACTTCCAGCCCTGATCTGGGAAAAGAACATTTGATGCCATCAAAGGGCTGCAGATTGAAACCAGATGTCCTCCCCTCGGTTCTTTCCATGCATTTAATTAAGGAGCAGGGATGGAGGAGACTTTTTCATCATTAGTCCACCCACTCCCCGCTCCTCTCTGCAGTCCTTTGCCCCCCTCCCACTCCCCCCACCCCCGCCCCCATTCTGGGCCGCTGGAACCCCCGACCGGGAGCCCGGAGCTCTGCCAGGGCTGCACTGTGCGCTGCGCAGGTCGCTCGATCTCCCCAGCGGTACCGGCTCTAAGCAGTAAACATCTGTCCGCGCCTGAGCCAAGACGAACTGGACGGCAGTGGTGGGGCAGGGGGCGGGCGTGCACGCGGGTGGGCCAGCGCAGAGTGGGAGCCTGTGGGTGCCTTCCGTAGGGATTTCCAGCTCAGCTGCCTCCAAGAGCCTAAGCTGAGCGCCGCACGCGCTCGTGCCATCTGCTGTACTGGACGCAATCTAATAGCGTAGAGAGGTTTCCACCAGGCATCCGTTCCACGTGGGCCGTTTCTCCCTTCCCAGCGGTTTGCCCTTGCAGCAGATCAGCCTCCCCAAACCCTCCCTAGAAATGGAGCAGCTCCTCGCCTCTCCCTCCTTTGGCTTTCTCCATCCTCATTTACACAGTTGCGTTTTAACATTGCTGTTTGTTCCCTACAAGGACCGAACTGCCCCTCGTGACAAAGGTCTGGGTAAGGGCTGGGGACTTTTGGCATCCCCAAGACACGACGTTACCCCTAAAGATCCAGTGTCCTCGGTCAGTTAGGGGGAGATCGTCCTTCCGAGGAAGTTTTGCCTTTTTCGGGTGAACGGTCAGTATGGTTGGTGAGCGTGGAGTAGCCACAAGGAAGAGAGTTTATAGATGAGCATCCGGAGGCAAACGCAGATGTCTCCGCTGATATTCGGACGCATGTTCTAGAGGGACCAGGTGCTTCTTGAAAATCACCCACTTGTCCCACTTGTCATTCGTGTTAATATCAACCAATCCTACCAATACTGACTAGAATGCTAACGGTTTCGAGAAAAACACCGGACACGTTTGCTAATTTATGGACTCTCTCTATATATATATATTTTCATGTGCAATGTTTTCCCCAAATGTCTTTCGGACTCGGAGCTCAAATACTGGCCAAAGTGCTGGGCTTGTCCGACCTTTGCAGCGTGGCTCCTGCAGCTTTAAAAGCGCAAGGTCGGGGAGCCCTCCTCTAGAAATGGAGGTGGCCTTTGAAGAGTGAGGGACACAGAGTGTCCTTGAGTCCTCGGAGCTGGAACTCTGGGGCAGAGTCCCAGGATACGCGGGGAAAGGGAAGAGCGGTTTCGGGGACTTAGTCACCATCCCCGGGGAGCGCGAGGCAAGCAGCAGGGCCCTCTCCCACCGTTTCGCAGTGTTTTTCTCAGAAGTCCGCGGAGGCCACCAAAGCGCGAAGGCTTGAGGGACACTTCACCACTCGGAGAGAGTGGTGAGGCTGCCTTTTCCCGAGATATCCCGTAGGCCTCGGCTGCAGGGACCAATCCCTGAATTCCCCTAGCCCCGACATCACCGCAGGGAGTCGGGAGGCAGGGTGGGCTTCGGGACGTGTTAGGAGAGTCCCCTAGGAAGCAGATCACAAAGGCAAACCCTGCAGAATTGATCCCCCCTCCACCCGCCAATTTTTTTCTTCTTTTTTTGCTTGTTTAGGTCTTTGTGGGTTTTTTTACTTTTCCTTTTTTTCTATTAGCAATTACAAGTGGATTGGATCCACACTCTGATTATGTTTACACACATTTGCAATTTGTTGAGAGTCTGAAGTGTAATTTTAAAATATCGAGATAGCCCTACAGGGAAATTCAAGACAGAGCCGAGAATGCGTTCACTTCATAAACACAAAAGGCATGCTTGAGCTGGCGCTCCCAGAACCCTCCCAGCCAGAGCTGATGCTCTGCTCTAGGCAACCATAGGCAAGCCGGAAGCTCCTTCTCAGAGCTCCACAGGTCACTGCTCCTAGCATCTACTGGACCCTCAGGTTCCAGGTCCTGCTTTCAAGGGTTCAGAGTAAGGGGGAAATTGGTGAACCAAAGTTCCCTGGGCTTGGCTGATGTTGCAGGAACCAGGAGGGCCAAGCACCTTGAGAATCTGAACGGCCATCTGGCAGAAAGATGTCAGGAGAGGGGACTTGAGGAAGCTTTGGCAGAGAGCACATACTCATCTCCCAAGCAGACAGCAGACTTGGCCTGGGCATTGAGAAGGCCCCAGAGAATAGCCGGCTGTTACCCCTGTAGTTCCGTAATCACCATTTTGCTTTCCCCATGTGACTTTTGTGGGTGGGAGAGAGAGCTGGAAAAAGAGAATTTCTAACTTGAAATCTCTAAACATGTGTAGGCCTTTCTTTGGCTTTAGCTTTGACTTCCATCCATCAATTACTATTTTTTGAAGTTTGAATCCCTGCATGATGTAACTAACCAGAAACTTCTCCCTTGTGACCTTTCCAGCATCTGAGACCCACTTTTCAACTGTTCCTTCTGCCCTACCACCTTTAAAATAACTCCTGTTTTTAAATTCCTCCCCATATAAATGGGAGCAAAGCTAGATCTAGCAAGTAAACTTGCCAATAGATCAGACCAAGGTAAGACAGAGGTTTAGTTCCCAGCCATGTGCCTTTGGGTGGTCCTATTAATAGTTAGGTTTGGTATTGATTACTGTCTAGGGTTTCCCTGGCACTGAAAGTTGGCAGAACTCTGCCTTATCTGGCTAGCAGAATGTCTCCCACCCTAAGCAATTTCCCCTCTGAGGTGGAAGCCAGGAGTTTCACTCCCTGACATGTTAATAAACTGACATGATAATCAGGTGACAGGTCACAGGTTCCATGACACATAAAGAAGACAGCACTACTCTTAGGAAATAACATGCTGTGGGAATAAAAATGCTTTCCTTCTTATGGTGAACAATCTAGTACATATTCATTAACAATGATACAGGGAAAAAGACTGAAATATAAGATGGATTCTGCAGGGTTCATATTTTAGTGTTTTTAGAAGGAGTCTTTATGTCACGCCTGAAAGGAACTCTCCTTTACCCTTCCAATTCTGGTTATTGTAACAATAACTGTTATTTCAGGAGCATTTCTCCCATGCTCTATTCTTTATCCAATAGCTCCATTGAATTATTTTGAAATTTTTTTAATAATCAAAGGAAGTCAGACTAAAAATACATTTCCAAGTAATGATCTGGTAACAGATTTACTCTGCTATAGGCTGGGAGGCCCAATATATTCAGTTGGAACATAGAATAGTTTCACTAAGCCCATCTTCTCCCCAAACCACCGGCTGGACACTCTGCATATACCACTGAAAGCAGCTTTAGCCAAAGACATCAGTGACCTGCACATTGACAAATGCTGTAAGTTTTCCTCAGGCCTTAGCTTGCTAAATGCTTCTGCTATAATTGATAGTGTTGACCATTGTTTTTTTTTTTAAAATGTTATTCTCCTGGTCCTCTTATTTCTCTGACTTATTTCGGTTTTCATAGTATATTCCTTTTTCTCTGCTCACTCCTTAAATATTATATTCTCCAGAGTTCTGGTCTTTATTTTACTATCCTTCAAAATACATAGGTTGTTCTTAGAAGATATCATACATTTTTATGGGTATGTCTTGGTCTGTTTTATGTTGCTATAAAAGAGTACCTGAGACTGGGTACTTTATAAAGAAAATAGGTTTATTTAACTTCTCCAGTCTGAGAAGTTCAAGGATAAGTTGTTCAAGTCCTGGCTTCTGGTTTGACCTATTCTGCTGCATCACAATATAGAAGAGAGGGTAAAAGAGGAAGTGGACATGTGTGAAGAGAAGGAAACCTTGGGGCGCATCCCAGCTTTATAACAACTTGCTCATAAGAATCCATTGTCCT